CCTACTTGCTTTTCAGCTGTTTGCTCACTAGAGAAAGTTGGACTGGGTACATTCTATAACAATTTTTTTGTACTGGGGATTGAACTATATTTTATTTTTTATTTTTAAATAGGGTCTTGTTAAATCACAATCTTGCTCTGGTTGAGCGGATCTTGTAATTTTCCTGCCTCTGCCTCACAGAGTGCTGGGATCTTAGGCATGCACCACATTGCCTGGCCAGTACCAATAACTCTTCTTTGAAATACTCCCTTTCTCTGTTTGTTTTTTTTTTTTTTTTTTTTTTATTTTTTGGTACCAGGAATCGAACTCATGACCTCACGCTTGCCAGGCAAGCGCTATGTTGCTGAGCTAAATCTGTGGTCTACTTCCTCTTCTGGGTTTGCCTGTTCTTGACATGTCATATAAATGAAATCGTATAATATTTGTTATTTTATGACTTCCTTTAGTGTAATGTCTTGAGAGTTCATCTACATTGTAGCATGTATCAGAATTTCTTTCTTTTTATGGTTGAATTTCATTCATTCTGTTGTATATGTCACATTTTGTTTACCCACTCATCTGTTGATGAATCCTTCAGTTGTTTCTTTTGGCCATTATACATAATGGCACCATGAACATGAGTGTACAAATATCTCTCTGAGAACCTGCTTGTAATTCTTTTAGATATATTTTATACTCAGAAGTAGCATTGCTAAATTATGTGGTAGCTCAATGTTTGTTTAAGGAATCACCGTATTGTTTTCCACAGTGACTGTACCATTTTCATTTCCCACCAGAAATATACAAAGGTTTCACTTTCTGTACATCCAGTTGTCACTTCTTGCTTTCTGTCTTGTTGGTACCATCTCAGTTGGTATGAGGTAGTATTTCATTGTGGTTTTGATTTACATTTTCCTAATGATTAGTGATGTTTAACAAGTGTTGTCCACTTGTATACCTTTTCTGGAAAAGAATTAGTCAAGTCTTTTAAATGAGATTGTTTTTGTTGTATTTTAGGAATTATTTATATATTCTGGGTATTAATCGCTATGTTAATGTGATCTGCAGATATTTTCTCCCATTCTATCAGTTGCCTTTTGACTCTTGATGGTGTACTTTGATGCACAAATGTTTTTACAATCGATGAAGTCTGTTTTATCCATTTGTTCCTCTTTTTCTCTCGCTTTCTCTCTCTGCTTCCTGGTCTCTCCTGAATTCATCCTCATCTAACATTTATTTTTAATACATGGAAGTTTACACATGCACATTTTCCTACTCAGCCTCCTTTTATAATTTACTTCCTGGGCAGGTTCCCAGGCTCTTGGTGTGTTAGAAGATGTGTTCTTGTGCACACAAAGAATGATAAGGAACTGCACAGGAGGTGCCCTGGGCTGGCCGCAGGGGTCCAGCAAGCTGGCTGCACTATTCTGTGGTCAACCTCTTGCAAATGGGGAGCTGCTGTCCGTCTCCATGGCCAGCTGCCACCAGCCTCATGGTGTGAATGGTTAGGAAGTGGGGACTATTGGTTGGCTGAACTCCAGAATGCAGCCTTTGCTGGCAGAGAATCAAGGTGGACGGGGGGAACACTCCATGTACAAGAGAAATAATACTTGCTCCAAAACCTGTAATACCCAAGTTTAGAAAAAAAATTTTTAAAAAAGATTTTTCAAACCAAACTCTGCTTTTATCTTTCAGTTCTGAATGGGAGGTTGTTCACCCAGCTAAGCTGGCTGCAGAAGCCAGGCCAGTTAAAACAATATGCAGGCAGCACTCCTCCAAGTAACCAGAAACTGTTGGCTCCAAGGAGCCTGAACCAAGGAACCGACCTGCTGGGAGACGTTTTCCAAGTTACTCCAAGCAACAGCCTGAATGTAAATCCTCTGCCGGGGAATGGCACTTTGGCAAATGAAGACCCTAATTAGAGATGGAAGGGTTTCTATTTTGTTTTTCTTTAATCCTTACCCTGGGGCCTTTGCAGGGACGCCATGTCTCTGCTTGTGTGCAAAGAAATTTCCAGCTTCTCTTTGTAACAAGATCCTCTTTTGGGAAAGTAGCAACAAGCCAACAATGTGGGCCCACCACAGCCAGGGGACCCTGCAACCAGCCTAATCCAAAACAAAGAGCTTGGGCTGATCCAGAGTGCCTAGGTCACCTGGATCAACGAGCCAACTGGAATTTGTTGGCTAAGTTGGAGTTTATGCAGCCCCTGCCCTGTGAGACACTTGAATCGAGGCTTAGACTGCAAATGAAGTGTCTTCATTTCCAAGGGAGAACAGAAGAGTGAGCAAAATGCAGAGCAGTCAGGGAGAACAGCGGCTCTGAGATGCCCACGCCAAAGTAGAAGTGAAGTAGTGGCTGGCAGGACCCTTTTACCTCTTCAGCTTTCCATGTGATTCTTTGGCCGTTGCATCTAGAGGGTAAAACAGAGTTAGGCTTCAAGGAATCCCAAGATACTTCTTTTTCAGCTCTATGCTTGTAGTTAGGCCACTTCATCTTGTAAGAGAAAAGTGGCCAGTCTTTGCTTCCTATCAAAATGAATGATGACCATGAAGAGCGGCCCTTCTGGATTAGTAAGCGTCCATCTTCCACTTTCATATTCTTGTTTTACTTTTCAGGGGCTTCTAGAAATTACTTAAAGCTGTTGGGAAACAGCTCTACATTCAGGTTTACAAAGAAAATTAATTGTGTAGATGCTGCACTGCTCCTTTTAAATTAATAAGCAAAGCAGTATTATCATTATGTCCTTGATTTCATTCTGCTGCTTTTTGAGTACTTAGATGGTGGAACATGGCAGCAACTTTTACTCCCAGTTGTTACCTGAAATTTTTGCCATGTTGTTCTGATTCAATTCAAAGTTGTATCAAAGGAAATGGAGCTTGGGGGTGGGGGTGGGGTCAATGTTCATTTGCATGTCAGCTTGCACTTATATGAACAGCTTGAATCATTTCTTGTTAAATTTGTGATGACAGTGACTTTGGAAGGAGGCTCAGATGTCAAAAACCAACTTCTGTCACAGATTTTTTAATTACCTGTATAGACCACAGAAGCATGAGGTATATGGAATAAATTCAATAGCAATGGATTTACAGCAGTGCTGCTTTAATATATTAGCAAGAGGAAGTGGGTGGGGTGGGCCTGAGGCCTGAGTTAGAGTAGATACTATTCTCTAACACGAGCAACCACTGGTATCACAGAGTATTGGTAGAAGCCTTTCCCAAAACCACTTAATCTTGCTAATAAAATTAAAACTGTCTCCATGCTAAGAGAAAATGGCAAAAGTTAATAATCTTAATATTGTTCCCTAACTATCTTTTCCCTGAATTTTTTTCCTTCTACTGTGGTCATTTTTATGTTGCTGGTAAAGTCACATAGCTGTCCAAAGTGTTGCTGTGACAACAGTGAGAATCTTAGCCAAAATCTTGTCCCCAGGAAGAGCTGAGATGTCAGTCTAATTATCATCATTGGTTTTCTTACTTTTATGAGTTGTGTCTCTGCCCATTTACTAATGGCATATTTAATATCACTCAGTCCTCTAAAGATACTTTTGTTAATGTCCTACGTGCTTCCTGCAGTTCCACCAATAGCAGCCACCTTCTGACCTGCTTGAGTTATAAAGCAAGCTTGGGTTTTATAGTTCCTGGTGAATATGATTGTGGGATCCCTGAGTCAAGAGCAGTTCAGCAGCTGCTACTACACAGAAGCTGGGCTCACAGACCATCTTGGAGCAACTTCTGATTGGACAGGAAACAGAGATACCTGGCTGTACCTGAAGGTATCATGGATACACTGACCTTAATTTAACTAAGTGGCTCCATTTTTAGCTCAGTGTAGAAAAACAGACTGTGTCTCTGAAATTCATACATTTACAAAGACCTCCGACAACTCAAGCAGTGTGCTAGACAATGCTCATAAAGAGTGAGGAGTCTCCATTTAAGCTGCCATGAATCAAGTGTCCACAACAAGCTTCCTCAAGGAAGATGGAGACATTCTGCATACCCCTCCACACATCAGCTCTTGCCTACCTCTATCATCTGTTCTTCAGCACATCTGCTGCTTGGGGTGTGCTGTGTTGCTTCCTGTCATTCCTGTCATTTTCAAGCCCATCGAACAGCAGTTTGCTGCCATAAAGTATTAGCATCTGCTGGGTGATAAAGGAAGGCCTTACAGAAAGTTAACTGCTTTATTTTAGGTATTTTTTAAAATATCATCTACTTAACTGTTTTGTGACAGTTGCTTTTAAATGCTTGGAAAGTTTCATAATACATGTGATATAAAAGGAAGTATATATAAAATTTTTCATTTTACTAATAATTGCCTTAAAAATAGGGGGGTACCGGTATTCAAACTCAGGACATTGCACTTGCCAGGCATATTTGGATTATTTTAAAACTTAATACAGCTTAACAAGCCCAAAGTTTACATAACTGAAATCCTGGTATTTGCTTTGGGTTCATATTCTTCCTTCTAGACTTCTTTTCCTCCTTCAGGGGCTGTAAGAAGGAAAGGAGTGTGGGATGGGGGTGTAGCTCAGTGATAGAACACTTGCCTAGTATGCACAGTGCTGGGGTTCAATCTCTAGCATCACAAAATTTAAAAAGAAAAAAAGAGAGGGAGAAAAAACTGATCAAGGCATGGTTGGTGAGGCTTGTATTTTATACCTTGAACTAAATAATGTTGCAAGAGGTTTAGTGATCGTTACTAAATGCTGTCTCTGGTACTGGTGAAGGTCATTGTCACAGTCCATGCGGAGCTGCCCAGTGCATTGACCTCATGTTCACATGAAAGTCTAGAAACCAGATGCTCAGAGTGCCCTCTTAGCCCATGACAGATCTGTTTGGGAAGTTCAAGCTGTATTTGACCACACTGAAGGAAAATGAAAGCTTAGAGATGGATTGTAATGGGTTAGAGAACTTTCTTCTTTAAAAAAAGTGAATGAGAGGGGGCTGGGGATTTAGCTCAGCGGCAAAGCGCCTGCCTGGCAAGCGCAAGGTTGTGAGTTCAGTTCCTGGTACCAGAGAAAAACCAAAAAAAAAAAGTGAATGAGAAAACAAGGTTTTGTTAGGGCAGGAGGTGGGAGCTCTAGCAAATAAAAAGTTATACTAGCACCCAGTTTCTGTTCTACTAAGTAAAGTCTTGCTAACACTGAATAATTATGGTAGGGAGATTCTGAATGAGGCCATCCTTTCACTTGTTCAGAGATGGTTAATTTAAGGACCTAGCATGACTTGAGTGGCGCTCAAAATTAGGGATTTTTGCAAATTACCTATTAGAGGCCATGGAAACAGAAGTGTATTTGTTCCTTAATATGAATGTGACCTCTTAGTATTTAAGAATGATTGCTTATTAACCAGGGAGTTTCAGACGAACTGTTTCCATATTCAAATCTTAAAAAATTGTCCCAGCCAAGGGAGATCTGGTTTATGGTGGGATGAGTTATAAGCAGAGCGGGAATGTATTTCAGGGCTTTGTGACTTCAGCTGGACACATCCACTAGCATCCAAGGGGGTACGCCCAGTGGTCCATTAAAGCCACCTCTGCAGCACATTTTCATCAAAGAGACCTGAAATAGGAAGAAAAAGTAACACTTTCTTAAAAAGGTCTGCTCCTGATATTCTAGATGAAACTGAGGTGGCATCCTTTTGCCTCCACAAATGGTCTTTGGCCAGAGCTTATAAGTGGCAGAGACAGACTTGGCCTGACTCTGGAGCCCACTTGTTCATTTCCACTCTTAAAGGTGGTATGTTTTCTAGGCAGAGGTCTGGATTTTATGGAGGCCAAAGATGTGAGGCATTGGCTAAACAGATACACTTGCACATTGTTTTAAGTATAAGTTAGTTGCCAGCCCTTCAGTTGGAAGATTTAGTATAAACATTCATATGTCTGCCTTCTCTTGAAAAATCAGAAGGTCTGGCAGCACTAGTGTCCAAGCCTTCCTGGTAAAGGAAACTCAAGCCAACTGTAAGTCCAGTCAGGCAGACATGCCCTGTCTCGTGTGGCATAGTCCCTGCCACTTTCTTCTGTCTTCCTCACACTAAAGCATCATGTCCCTTGCTATCAGTCTTATATGTGGCCCCTGAAGGCATCTGAATTTGTGATTTCTGTTGTATAGTTTTGCACATGCTGGTAGGGGAATACCATTAAGGTTGTCCTGGAAGGTTGAGTGAATCAGTTGTGAACACAGACTGATATTTTCTGACCATCAAACAATAAATGTGAAACAGGACCCAAGATGAGTTGGATTAGCACCCTTCTTTTATGCCTCTGATTTTGTCAAGCATCATAACACAGTACTACTGTAGAGTGACTATATGATGTTATCCTTGCTTACATGTTCTTGAAAGTGAAGGGAATATTATTGTTAATTATGGTGGTAGAACAAGTGTAAACTGGGGCTGTATAGGGAGTGCAAAGACAAGGACATATGGCAACCCTAGGCTTATAGGACATGTGAATAGGAAGCCAAGATCAGTGTAGTGAAAACTCTTTTTAAGATGAGGTTGCACAGAGGGTCCATTGCTGAAGAGACTGTTGTGAAAGGTAGGGCAAGGCATTGCAGAGAAGGGGTGCGTTCTTGAGCATGTGAAAGGTCTGGGAGAGGCAAGCAGCTGAGGTAAAAAGAATAAACTGAGCAACAGCTAGATATTTGTGTCTCTTTATTTGTCAGAAATAGGGGATAGTGTGCCTGGAGCATAGGTGCTTGGAGCAGACAGTGGAAGAAGAAGGAGGCCAGGTCAACTGAATGCAAACTAGGCTGAGTCTTAGCCAGGTGTGGTGATGCATACCTGTAATCTCAGCACTTGGGAGGCTGAGCCAGGAGGATCACTTCAAGTTCAAGGCTGTCCTGAACTACATAGTGAGTTCAAGGCCAGTCTGAACTACACAGCAAGACCCTGTCTCACAAAAACAAAACAAAAAGAAAGGGACCCCCTACTTTTAAAAAGGTAGAATTGAGCAGATTAGATGGGAAAGGAGAAGGGATTGTAAGAGGAGGGGAAGAGACTTGGGTTTCTAGATTTGTATAATGGTTTCTAGATTCTTAGGAAGATTTTGGGACTGTTGAATGGGAACCCTGGAATTCAGAAAAAAAATGGGTCAGAGATAAAGATGAAGGTTGTGAACTCATAAGGTCCAGAACCCAGAATCCAGAATAAGCTTGTCTAGGAAAAGAACTTAGACTATGAAGAGAAAGGTGGTCCTGCATAGGGCTTAATGGAAAATGAGTGAGTGAGAGAGACCATGTAATTTTCAGTGAAGGAAACAAATAATATGGTGGCAGAGGACATGACAGGGGAGGAGCATGACCTTATGCATTCGTTTAAGAAAGGTATATCAGTTTGCTTTTGCTATATAACAAACTGTCCCTAAAATTCAGTGCCCTAAAACCACCACTTGCTTTCACCTGCCTATGACTCTGTTGTGTAGCTGAGTAGATCTCGTCTGGGCCTGCATAGCTGATCTTCTTGGTCAGATGGTTGTTCACCTGGGGCTGAATGGTCTAGGATGGCCTCATGCACATTTGGGACCTCATCTGAGACAGCTGTGCCCTCTCAACCAGTACACCAGTCCCCTCTTTCACATGGAGGTCTCCGAGTTCCAAGTAGCAAGAGAGGGCAAGTCCAAGGCACAGGCACTTTCCATTCCCGTGTTTGCATTGCATCCTCTTAGTTAATGTTGCATTGGCCAAAGGAAGCATAGCTTTAAGGGGTACAGACATGAACATCTGTCTTGCTGGGTGAAGCTGAAAAATAGAGAGGTTATTTTCTTCTAGATCCAAGAGGTGTGAATTTCTTGTAGCACTGGGCAAGAAAATGAGGTATTTAATTCTTTGCATCAGTTATGTAACTTCCAGTTGAACTAGGAAGAACCAAAGATTTTAAGAGTAATTAAAATTCTATAGGCCTGTGTAACTGTGAACATTATTTCAGGTCTGTTCCAAGTGAAAGCAGAAGTATAAAGGTAGTGCAACAAAAAATAGCACCATTCTTACTCATGAAACCATGCTAAAATGATTACTAAAGAAACTGATAATACCCAGTTCCAAACTCAAACTCTTGCTCAAGGCACCTTGTCTGATTTGAATTAGTCAGTACCTAAGAGCCATTACTCATTTAAGACTAGATTAATGAGTAGTAATCACAGCTGCTGTTAACCCATGCCTACTGCATCCCCGAACTATGCCAAGCAACTGACACCCACAAACTGTTTGTTACCTTTGACAATACTATGAAGTAGTATCATTGCCCCAGTTCTACAGATAATGAAACAGGTTCAGATATTAAGTGACTTGCCTAATGGTATTTATTAAGTGAAAGAACCAGAAATAGAAAAGTCCCACAGGCCACTGGGCTCCTCTGACTGTGGGCAACAGTAGCAGTCATCCTTATCTTGGTGAAGTATTCTTTCATGTATACTGACCTGGGCTCTGTCTTCTTTCTAGAGGCCAGGGGCACTCCATGCTACTGGGCAGACTTGCCCATTCATCTAGATTAATTGACAGGTTTAAAATGCCAAGGTTGTTTTGGACACAAGAAGGAAATATTATCTTGCTCAGTCTGGATAATTGTTAAAACTGATTTTAGAATTTTCCTATATTGACCAGAAATAACCTCATTCACATGATAGTATTGTCATAATAGTTGTCATAATAGTTTTGCTTTTAAGCAATAGCAGTAGCCATGGGAAAAGAATAGTTGTAGGTTTCCCTCCTACCCATTTTTTTTGTTTTTAAAAAATGTTTTGAAGTATAATAGACATATGATAAACAGCATATATTTAAAGTGTACAGTTCAGTAGTTTCACCTATATACACATACACCCATAAAACCATCAAAATCAAGATGAGCATATCTGCCACTCCCCAGAAGTGCTTTTATTCTTTTGAAATCCCTTCCTCCTTCCCTGTCCTGCCTGTCATTCCCCAGCCTCTAGGCAACACTGATCTGTTTTTTCCTACTATAGATTAGTTTGCATTGTATAGAATATTACAGAATTAATTTTATAGAATATTATATGGATTGCTGTATGTCTTTATTCTGGCTTCTTTCACTCAGGTATAATTATTTTGAGATTCATCCATGTTTGTGGTATGTGTCAGCAGTTCATTCCTTTTTATAACTTTTTAAATTGTAAATAAGAAAAGAGAATGCTCGCTTTTACTCTGAACATGGGCCAGAACTATTGAAGTTACCTGCAAATTGTACATTAACCAACTAATGGCAGTGATGAGTTAATCTGTAACTTCATCTGTTAGCTGTTAACATGACCCCCAAACTTAATGTCCCCTTGACTGTCAGACCCTGATTCCAGATACACGTTCTTGTAGTTCAAAAACTGAAGTAGGACTGAGGGGCTTGGGAAAGCCCGTGTTCTGAATGTTGGTTGGTGCCTGCCCATCATCTTATCTTGATGTAGTACATCTTCAGGATGGTATGTGACCAGCAGGGGCTGGGTGCCCTGCTAAAAGTCCTGGCTGTCTAGCTTATAAATTTGAGTTATATAAATATCCCTATCCCACTAGAAGCCAACTTAGAATGTTGGGGAAATTATTATTGTTACAAAAGTTCTCACTTTAAGATTTATTAAGTGAACTCAATTGCTACATTTGAAATTGTTTTAATTTACATTCTTTTTAAGATTCTGTCACTCTTTTAAGCTATCATAAACTCATCAGCTAACAAGTCCTTTATAGTTGACCTTCTTTTAGCAAATTGTTTTTTAAAAATTTCTTAGCTAGGCTGGAGCTATAACTCAGTAGTTAGCAGCGTAGAATGCACAAGGCCCTAGGTTTGATCCCCAGCACCTTATATACATGGACCAACTCCACACAAGGAGCGTAAACATTATGTATTGCAAATGTGGTTTAAAAAGAAAAGAGGAAGGGGATCAAGAGATGGGTGGAGTGGGGAGAGAGGGAAGGAAAAAGGGGTGAGAAAAGGAATTAGAGTGTATTATTTACCAACTCCCCACAACATCATGTACTACACACATGTGCTAATAAAAAAAATCCTTAAACAGGGGCTGGGGTTGTGGCTCAGGGGTAGAAAATTTTCCTAGTATGTGCAAGACCCTAGATTCAATCCCCATCATTTCTTTTTTTTTTTTTTTTTTTTTTTTTGGTTTTTGGTTTTTCTCCGGTACCGGGAACCGAACTCACGACCTTGCGCTTGCCAGGCAGGCGCCCATCATTTCTTTTAAGTACTTTACTTCAGATCTCTTGGTATAGGAATGTTCTAGTAATGATTGCTTGAAATAACACACACAATATTTACATTTTTATTAACATACTAGTATATTTTAAAGATATTTTTGAAAAACTAGCATCAGATACTACTGAATTCTGATTTTCTCCACAAATAAAAACTTGGGCATTGCAGGACTATAAGAAGTAGAGGTGCATACCTGATAGGATGCAGTTGGCTCTGAACAGCCTCCCCGGGTGTCAGTATATTGTGATCTCAGGGAAGTTACATCCTCCTTCTGCAAATCTCAGATGTGGGAGAACATGCGCTTTCATCCCATCCCAGAACTAAGAGATATTTTCAGATGGACCATGGTTAGGCTCATTGTTGCCTGAGAGATCCCCTTTGTCCCTTTGCACAAAGACTGTAGTGACTCTTAACTGGCTTCCAGGACTTAAGAAGCAGGCATAGCTCCAGGGTTCTGCACTTGTTCCTGGGCTGGCAGAAGGAGACTGAGTCTCCTTAGGGTGCTGCCTATGTCCCAGGACAGCAGAAGCAGGCTTAGTGTCCTCAAGTGTGCCACATAAGCTCTGCAATCAGATCAGGTTGGATTGGTTATTCCATGTGGGACCATCTGGCCAAAATTCTTACCTTCAAAGGGAATAGTTTGTGGTCTTTGTGGATCTGACTCCCCACAACATATCCTAGCTATCTTTCTGAAGGGTATGTGTTTTTATTTGTTTACCCTTAAAGTGATGGCAGCTAGGCTGTCATGCCTACCTTGGGTGCCTCTTGAGCCAGTGTTGGCATAATCTGCAGTTACCTGCCCGCTTTGAAGGGTTATGTGGCTCTTACAGTTTTACCATTGTTTTCTTAACCACAACCAGACTGCCAATCTCCTGGATGGTAAAAGAAAGCATAAGCACCCTGGATCATGACCCAGCTCTTTTCCTGTTCTTTTGAGACTTTCCCAACAGGAAAGGCTCTGGGTAATTGATAGAGATTATCCCTGATTCACTTTATGTAACCTTTTTTTACTCTTTCCTTTTCCTGGGATTAAGCTCTTCCTTTGCAAGAAGTTCTTTTCTTAATGACAAAATCATTTACTTATTATTGACCAAAGGAAGTGATCCAGTCAGCTCCACCTTTCTGTGGCTCAGTCTTCATAGCCTCTTTCATTGTAATGGCTTTTAAAGGCATTAACTTATTCCCCTCTTCCATTTTCTGCACTGTTAAAGTCTGTCAACTATTCTTTAAATTGCTCTGCCTTCCTGTAACAGTAATTGCCTATATATCTGTTGGTGGAAATGAGTGTTAGCATTGAGTAGATATCTTGACATTTACTCAGGGAGGACTCTCAGGCAGTATTCCTGCACTGCTGAGATGTGTCATTGACAGGACAACCAACTGAGGTTGGATGGAGTAATCCAAACCCACAGGGACTGCTTGGATGGCATGTACTAGAAACTAAACTGTGGGCCTGCCAACTGCTACTAAGAGAACAACAGGTAGGCACTAACCTGTGGGAAGGTTTTTGTGTGGACCTTGTGAGTATACTGTGATGCAAAACCACCATGTACCCAATGACACCTTGGCATACCTCCCCCTCCATGCTACTTAGTGTAACTGCAGGGTTGGCTGTCTCCACCAGAACCTCACCAGAACCTGGCCATCAGCTCCTGGCCAGCCCTCTCTTCCTCTCCATTCTGGATGCTTGTCTTGAACCTCTTCTAGACCACACCATGCACCCATCTAAGCTCCTCTGTTTCAGAACCATGCTGAGTATTTTTCAAGGGGAGCCACAGAATTGAGCTTGAACATAGTTTCTCTAATTAGCGTAGCTCCATTTCTTTAATCCTGTAGACTGCCTGTTCTCTGCTTCACAGCCCAAAAAGGCTTCTATGGGGCCGTGAATCTAGTACTAGTGATAATTATTACTGCACCCTACATACTTGGGAGGGATGCCAGGAGCATCCTTTCCTCCAGCTAGCATCAGTTTTTGGGCTGAGCAAGGCCAGTTTGATGTTTATTTACACATTTCTCCTTCCCCTTCCATCATTGTTACTACTATTGTGATGACTATTTATTGAGGCCAGGACTGAAATGCATTTGGAAAATTATAAGAGTATAGAAATAAAACAGCCTTGCCAGGCGTAGTGGCACACACCTGTAATTCCAGCACTCAGGAGGCTGAGGCAGGAGGATTGCTGTGAGCTCAAGGCCAGCCTAGATTACATAATGAGATCTTGTCTCAAAACAAAACAAAACAAAACAAAACAAAGCAAAAATAAATGAAACAACCTTTACCTGTTGGTCTGTACACTTAAGATTATAGCACTTGTTCTTCGAATTAGATCCTAAAATACAGCCTTTCTGTTTGTGTTTTACAACCCATGATCTCAGTTACTGTAACCAGTATAGTTATACACCCCTGTCTCCATCACTAAAAGTATTCCTGGTGACAAAGAGGTGATTTTTTTGCAGAGAAGTGGATATCAGGAGGTTGACACACAAGTTCTGTGACTTAGTAACCTCAGCTGGAGTGTTTGAAGGCTTAATACAAGAAGGAATATGTTTTTAAAAAGCAAAATTAAACTTGAAAACAGTGTCCTTGAGATTCTTGTCTTTTTCTTCGTTTTGTTTGTCATCCTGTTACTGCAAAAATCCTTCTGGTGCTTGGTTTTACTGCTCTGCTCTGCTGCAGGTAGACTCCTGTGCAAGGTCCTGGGACATGTGTGGAATAAAAACTGAAAGCCTGGACCCTGGAGGCAGGCATCTGCCATGAAACCCCATTTGGAATGGTGGCCTTGGTGCGCACAGCTCTGTCCTCCCTGCATTTGCATACCTGCTGGTTCCAGTTGCTATGGCAGAAGCTGGTGACCAGGATGCTGCCTGTGTTAGGAATTGCCCCTGAGGCCTTTGTGAAAGACTTAGACTTCTGCTTTGAGGGGGATACCTTTCCCCAAGCATCGCAAAAAGCTCAGATATTTATTGCGTTGGAAGCACATTCTCTTTTAATGGGGCTTTCTTTAAGTCTGAGTTACAATAGCATAAGTAGGTGTCTTAAGAACCAGATATATGGCTGAAAAAGGAATTTGGTCATCGGAGGAGGGGAGGAACAAGAAATTGATAAATTCGGTTAAGAAGGGCATTCCCACCAGTTGTAGTGGTGCACACCTGTAATCCCAGCACTCAGGAGGCTGAGGCAGGAGGATCGCTGCAAATTCAAGCCCTAACCAGGGCTGCATACTCAGTTCAAGGTCAGCCTGGACTACATAGTGAGATCCTGTCTCAAAAGAACAACAAAAGGGCATTCCCAGCCTGCCATCTCTCCCTCTCTGATCTTAGGATTTTGGTCTTGTGGTTATCTGTCTTAATTATACCTCAAACTTGACCTGAGGAGCTTTCAAACCTATAGAGTCCAGTTGTAACTCCAGCCAGCTCCCTTCAGTTATCTCCAAGAGTATTAACAAGCTCCCTGGGTGTTCCTGTATGCCACCTGGGCCACACTCACTGAGCGCTCTGTGCCTGTCTCATGCTGTGGCATCATCTCTTGCCCTACACTGATATTTGTGCATGTGTATGAAAGGCAGCACAGTCATATCAACTTCTAGAAATCTTCAGAAGATAGCTTCATCATGACTCTTGAGTGCCTGCCTGTTTTTTTGTAGGCCCTGGACCTGCAAGAGGGATCAGAAGGTGCCTCTGCTCTGTTTCCTAGAAAGTAATCTTATATACAGACAGATAAGGAAAGGGTGCCCAAGGCAGACACACATAGAGCAGGCACTGTGTTCAAAAGAGGCGGATATATGTAGTGATCATTCCAGGGCACTTGTATGTGTCAGGTTCCTTCTTAGTCCTCCCAACAATGTAAAAGTATGTCTGTCCTCATCATGCCCACTGCACAGATGAGCAAATGAAGCAGAAGAAGGTCCGCATGTGCTCACAGTCACGGAGCTAGTAAGGCAAGCCAGGGTTCCAACCCAAGCAGGATGAGGTGGCAGCTTCCCTCCCTCCCCTTCTTCTGTGACGGCACTTCTTAAAAGAGAGGCCCTGGGTATCCAGCCTGGCCTTCTGTCCTAGACCTTCAGGCTCTTATTCCTTAAGGCTCATGGCCACGTTGGTGGGGTGTTAGCAAACTGATTACATCCAGATAAAGCTGAGGGGTGCCTTGTGTCTGCCCTTTCCTAGAGAAAAGGATTTGATTCTGTTGCCGTTACCAATGGTCTTGGTGTGGGGTTAATAATAATGAAATAGCATCATTCTTAAACTCTACTATGGTGGTAGAAAGTCTCAGATAAAGGGAGTCAACACAATAGGATACAAAGAGGACCATTTTGAAACAGATCCTCAAGAAGTATAAAAGGGGGGCTGGGGATTTAGCTCAGCGGCAAAGCGCCTGCCTGGCAAGCACAAGGTCGTGAGTTCGGTTCCCGGTACCGGAGAAAAACCAAAAAAAAAAAAAAAAAAAAAAAAAGAAGTATAAAAGGGTGAAAATTATACTGTTGGTGAGCTTGCATTGACCAAAATGGCAATGGATATAACCCCTTGAATGAAATAGCCTCTGATTAAATACACAGGAGCTTTCAAACTGCTAACCTGTACAAAAGTAGGTAAAATTTCTATCCTGTCACCTCCCAGGGAGGGCAAGATATAGTACAGTGTGATAAGCAAGTTGGGGAGGAAGGCTTCCTTGTTGACTATTTGAACAGCATGACATTTGACAAGGGAGTCCCAGTAGGTAGGAAAAGAACTATCTGGAATTTCCTTGTGGTATGGGGAAGTATGCAGTTATATAATCTGCTGATGCATTAGTTGGAGTTTCAGCATTCATGTTTATGGTAGTTGTACACCTTTCTATCTTCATTGTTTTTTGTTTTGTTTTGAGGCAGGGTCTCATTATGTAGTTCAGACCAGCCTTGAACTCACTTTGTAGCACAGGCTGGCCTCAAACTCCTGGTGATCCTTCTGCCTCAGCCTCCCAGGTGCTGGGATTACAGGTGTGTACCACCACACCCAGCTGTTCTGTCTTGATTTTAGAAACTCCTGGGACTAGGTAACTATTTCTCTGGCCTGAGATTATGAAGAGAGGTTTAGGCCAAATGTCAGCTCTGTGTTTCGTGGCTATGGACAAGTTATATAACCTTGGAGCCTCCAGCTGTAAAATGGGGACCAGTGACACCTCCCATGCAGAACTGCTGTGCAGATTCAGCTCCTTAAGAAAGCACCGAGTCCCTTGCCTTATACAATAAGTATTATCCTCTGCTTACTTTATATTAGAACTTTGTGCTTCCAACCAGTACTGCCCTGGGACAGGGCAAGGGGTGGGATATACTTTAATACTCTGAAGCTTCTGGCCACAGGGTAAAGAGTCCAAGACGAAGCCCCTTTTTATGAACCATCCCTGGGATCCTCCAGTTCCCCAAACTGTCCCTAGGCTAGCTTCCAGTTCTTGCAGCCCTCCACCCTAGGGTCATCTTCCTGGGGGCAGGCTGCAGTGGCAGCATACCCCTCCCTGTGCCTAAGGAGAGTGGGTAAAGCTTGGCCTCGGAGACCAGGGTGCCCACTTGCTTGTGCCTAGGCCCCTCTAATTGGCAGGTGGGCTGGGGGTTAGCTGACTCCATACTGATAGGTTCTAGTGAAGAACTCCAAGGAATTAGGGAAGTCTCACCGGTAACCTATCCTTTAAAGCCTCATGAAGGTGTGTATGTTAAGACAGGAGGGCAGGATACTGTATATTGTATTTAGTGGTTAGTCGTCCCAAGCTCCACACATACTAGCACCAGCCCTGCTTCAGGCATAGAGAAGTTTTTATCCAGATAATTGTACCTTCCTCTTCATGAAAATAAGAAAATTGTACAATCAAAATGATCTTTTTAAAAAATCTGTTTACCACCAGATTTGGGAACTCTATAATACCTTCCTTTGCCTCATCCTGAATATTGTTGTGGATACCAGTGAGGTAGCTCTGGGCTCTACTAGTCCAGCTGCATTAGGACAGTGGCTCTAGAAAGGGCCTTGGACACTCGTGCAGAGGCTCTGTGCAGTTTTGGGTTACATCAGTGGTTCTCTGCTCTACCTGAATTTTAAAACTAACTGGAAAACTTTTAGAAAAATTTCGCTACTGCGATTCCATTCCACAAGCATCAAACTGTCATCTTCTATGGATAGGGCCCAAGCATGGTTATTTTCCTACTCCCCCAGTTGCCTCCTGGAGTGGGCCAAAGGTCAGAACCAAGACCACTGCTGAGAGCTCAGCTTTTAAAGAGGTTCTGTAGCAGCAGCACCACCACCACCACATACACACACTCCGAAGAATGGCTGTAGGGTGTTCAGACTTTACAGGTCCTGTTGTTCCTTGTTAAGCTTGATTCTGCCACCTAATTAACACTTGTTTATATTAATTAATTACCACAAGTATAGAAGGCAAAATGGTCTTTTTTGAAGTCTGTAGTTGCTGACTTTATAAGATCTGGCCCAAAGTACAACTTCAGGAAACTCAACCCAAGATAACAACTTCAAGGTTCTTCCAAATTTCTCTCCCAGGCATAGGCAGTTCTGCAGCCGGTTTTCCCTAACAGTCTTCACCCAGCAGTATCGATGGAACGGGAGGGTGTGGACAGCTCTCCTGGGCTTTTGGTGCTCCTTGTCAGGTGTTAAAACAAAGAAGATCATTGTGTTTCTTAGAACTGGTCTAAAAGTCTGTGTTTAAGATTAAGATCTAGGGAAATGCATTTCCGTTTGACACCAAGTAGTTTCTGCTTATGAAAAGGGTACCAACCTGTGCGGCCGCCTCCCTGGGACACCTCTGTGGACTCTGCCGCTTCTGTCTGTTCTTTTAATTAGAAAAAATTAAGTGGGGGCTGCTACATATTTTGAGAATAAATAACACTATTTAAACTTAGGCAGCCTTATCCACTAATTTAACCGCTGAGTTCTCCCTGCTACATGTTTCCTAAATAGATCAGCATATTAACAATGATTTTAAATGTACCGTCTTTGCTCTGGAGCTTTTAGAAGCTTAATGACTTTAATTATGGCAAGAAATATCTTCTCCTGGTAGGGAGGAGTGTGGCCAGCTTGGGGGGGTGCTTTCCT